CAATATGCAGCAGGCGAAGCAAATATAACATGTACTTGAGATTCTCACTCACCTAAAGCTATCGTAGTAATATTTAAAAAATGTGGCATCTTATTTGATAAGCATAGCAGAAATAAAAAAACATCAAGTTAACCACAGCATGATGCAACAAAACAAGAGGGACAACAAGAGGACACATACTTCGGAAGAGATGATTTTCAAGGCTTCCTCTAAACATGAACTCATAAACGAGCAAACGATGGTCATCCTCACAGCAATACCCAATCAACTTGACAAGATTAGGATGCCTAAGCTGGCCAAGAAAGTTGACCTCAGTAAGCCACTCACGGTGACCTTGAAGCCCCTCTTTGTTAAGTACTTTCACAGCAACCGGTAAAGACTTAAGTCCAACACGAACATTCTCATCAATGTAGCCCTTGTAAACAGTTCCAAAACCACCCTCACCAAGTATATAATCAGATCGGAAGCTTTTAGTAATTGTCTCCAGCTCAAAAAGAGTAAACGCAATTATATGTGTATACAGTACAGCATTCTTTCTAAAATCCTCTAAGTTTCTTGGAGTCGAAGGATCACTCAGATCTGATGTAGAACGACTATGACTATGTTTCTTCGACTCAATACCTATCCTGCTTCCCAACGATAACCCCTGCTGCTGCTGGACTGCCCATCAAAAAAAACACAAAAATCAAAAGATAATCAAAACCCCATTTGAGTTCAAACATTGTTGTTCAAATTACAGTTCAAGATTGAACCTTTTCAGCACAAAATCACTAAAGAGGATCATAACACAAAAAGTATCAAAACCCCATTTGAGTTCAAACATTGTTGTTCAAATTACAGTTCAAGATTGAACCTTTTCAGTACAAAATCACTAAAGAGGATCATAACACAAAAAGTAGCATATGGGTATTTCTCCAATTAGTCAAATAACTAGTAAAAATGAAACAGATCTGAGAAAAAAAGAAAGAAACCTTGATGATGAGCATTGGAGACAACAGCAGATTCCTCCCTAGTACCACAATTGCCCATCTGCTTCTTTATCTGTTCTTAGGTCTAGTCTCATTCTTCACATTAGCACCCCTCTCCCTCCCAAATTCAACACTTTATCCTTTTCTACACTAAAACAGAGAGTCAAAAAGAGCTCTTTACAGCGCACGTTGGGGAGTTTCTTTCTCTCTCTGTATTTGCAATTAGCAGGAGAAGTAGATAGTGATACCAACTTTGATGGGTATTTGTGCTGCTGTAAAAGGGATATAAAGGCCAAAGAAACAGTGGTGCAGTGTGCAACACATACTCGCTCAGTCAGGGACCAGTCTCTCCATATACTAAAAAATTCAATAAAGCTGTATGCGCGTGCTGAACGGAACCATGCCCACTCTAAAATATTTACCAACACCCACCGTAAAAATCCAACGTTCTAACATGCGATATCGTGGAGATTTATGAGAGTTGGTTCCGAGGGGAAAATGAACGCATTTTCAAGTTCAAACGAGCTTCAAGCTGAAAAAATTAGATTTTACTGTTTTTTGTGTGCTATAGTTTATAATTTTTTGGTGATACAGGATTCCGACTTGTTTTAAGGTCGAAATTTTTCATGGACGTCCGATACGATCTTATTAATGGCGCGAGTTGGTCCCGAAGAGCAAACGAACACATTTTCAGGTTCAAATGAGCTCCAAAGCGAGAAAAATCATATTTTACCATTTTCCGTGTGCTATAGTCACGTTTACATTAATTTAATCATTATTTTTATGTTGGCTTTTTAGTTATTTTAAAAAAAGTGAAAGTGGTTTCTTAGTCACAATTAGCTAAGTCTTTTCACATGGCGGAAATACAAGGTTTTCACGAAGCTAAGCGATTCCTTGGGATCTTATGTGTGACCTTAGGGAGCTTGTTTTGAAAGCTACTCTCTTATAGCTGTGTGTTAGGATTTTCGAGTTCTAGTTATAATCAAATAATTTGAAGTAAAATCATAAATATGAGCAATATCTCTTGAATATGGAACAATTAACTTATTTTGAATATGAAAAAAAGCCTACAAAATATATACAATTATCATGAACTAGAGAGAATATTATTTAAACCAATTCACTAAAAGGAGTATGTTTTTTTGAAAATTTTCCAAACTAGAATAAATGTAAATCACATTAACTTATTAGACATTATTTTATTTATAAAATTCAACGGTATAAACTGAAAACGGTCAAATTTAACAGATCATAAAACATTATCATCAATAACATTTTTTATAAGTGATTTGTTACCACAAATATTATTTTATGAGACATTAAGGTACTCTATTAACTTGAAATATCTCGTATATTGAAGGTAACCTTATGAAAATTAGTTGTATATTTCAAAAACAACTTCAACTTCAACTATAACTTCAACCATTCCAAATAAAATAAAATAAATTATTTTCAGAATCAAACACCCACTTTAAACTATGTCCTTCCAGTTTGCCAGACAATTAACAACAAGAAAATTTATATTCTCTTTAAAGAAAAATTTCCTATTCAAACTTGCACCATATGCCTACCCTTATTTAAGCATTCTCACTTCATGCTCTTAATTGCCCTTTTAATTGAATACAAAATTTAAAATAGAAATAATGTTTATCTATTACTTTTCGATCTTATATTTGATGAACAATTATTTTATGGGGCTTTGAAATTCGCATGTAAAAATATAGTAAGTGTTTGATCATATTTCATTATGATTAAAAAAAATAGCTTTTATTTTTAAAGTGAAATGATATTTGGAAAGAGTTGTGTTTGGCCATAAAATTAATTAAAGTTATTTTTGAATTTGTGAGTAATTTAAAATGAAAACAACTAAATTTATGAAAATTCTTTAAAAAGTTAGAAAACAGAATTTCAGGGATAATCCGCTAATGAAAACTATCTATAATAATGTCATTTTCTATGAAAGTTTCTTTATTTATTTATATTATTTTAGGAAAAATCATTATAACATAATAACATAAAATATAAATATCACTGCATCAATAATTAAGTAGCTCTTATGTTCGATGATAGATTCAAAATAGTCTTTTAAGTGTGTAATGAATAATCTTGATCTTTTAATCTCATCAAAATAAAATATTTTTAGTCTCCATCAACTATTTATCGAACTTGATCAGTTAGATTTGGTGTGAACAATAATAGAAATAAAGGTGGGAACTTTACATTTAAAAGTCTAATTTTTATAGTTTTTGCAGTATTATTTATTTATTTATTTCTAGCGTCTAATAGATCTTAATAAAGTGTAACTTCTTTTTTTTTTTTTAATATCTTTTTAATTACTCCTTAATATTTTCCTCCAATCTAACCAATAGTATTAACTTTTAACAAATTCAAAAAATCAAAACTGTACCATGCATATTTAAGAGACTATTTTAAATCTATCCTAGTACGTAAGAGGGGTATTTTTGTCATTTTCTCTCACCAAAACCGTTGGTGGTTTCACAATTTAACGACTAACCGTGGTGTGGCCCTCCTTGCCAGACAATTAACAACATGAAAATTTATTTCTCTTGTCCCCTCCTATTTGTCCTCTCTCTTAACCTCTTTAAATTTGTACCATATGCTTAAGTATTTTCACTTTGTTGACCCTTTTTATTGAATACAAAATTTAAAGTTTGAAATAATGTTTATTGATAACTTTTTGATTTATTTTTTTAAAAAAATAATCATCTTTATGGGGTTTAAACTTCACATGTGAAATATCTAGACTTTTAACTATAGAATTTGAAATTTCATATTCATACCTATTATGTGGTAAGACTGTTCTTAAAACTTAACTACATAAATAATATTGTATTTATTCAATATTGCAAAATAGTTATTTTCTTCCATATATAACAACATTTAAGAACTAGAAGAGATAATTATAATTCCAAATTTAATGATATAACAAATTATTAGTTTACCTTAAATTAAGGGATTCTTTTTCATCTTTAAAGTTTAAACAAAATATCATAAAAAGAAGGAAAAAAGCTTAAATATGTCATTAAGCTATTAAAAAAGACTTATCTATGTCATCCATTAATAATCGAACTCATTTATGCCATCATCGTGAATCAAAGTGCCCATCTGTGCCACTCTTCATTAACGGCTCAAAATAGGTGATGTTTAAAAAGCAAGTTTGGAGATGTGTCATCCATTCAATGGTCCACATCATCTAATTTGTCCCACTTTATTTTAACTCGTCACAATAAAATTTGACTCGACCTAGAATTTAACCTAACTCACTTCCCTTTTAACCCAACATGTCAAGTGGGATGATAAAGTTGGAACACGGGACTTAACAATTCATGAACAAATATGTGCCCAAGTTGGATAGTAAGGATAAATATATCAAAAGTACCAATCCAAATCTCCATCAAATAACTTTAAATTTTGTAAGCAATCTCCTTGTACTATTCCAACAAGTCTAAATAACACTCACTCCAAATTTCTCACATAATCATAATCGAAATTTAAACACAATTATTTAAGTTTGTTCAACAATGATGGATTACCTTACAAATCTATTTTCCATCATCCAAATATATTTAGTTTATTGAACTAATGTTTGAGTCACAATTACTGATTAAGATTCAAAGCATGAATTATTTTTAAAAAGAAACTGAATACCAAGTTGAAGAGCCTATTTGGAGTTGGATGTTGAATCTTAACCTATTATTTTTACAACTTTACCAAGTTATATATAGACCACTTGGTTCCAATGTATATATGTATGGACTGTATTTATATGTAATTCTCTCTTAAACTTAACTTTCAACTATCATAAAGAATTCATTGCTCACATGGTAGCCAATGTATTAGTAAAAGAAGCTGCCAACCCAACTTCTCCTAGTTGGTTTTTCATCTCAGTGTTTTCAAACTGGGTAGGGGGCATCTGCAATCAGTTCTAACAAGCTTCACCAAAAAAACGAACTTTCATCAATATAAGGGCATAACATAAATTTTTCATAGTACAACCCTGAAGGGCCCTCCTTTGCACAACCAGAATACCAGATGTATTGTGGACGGACGCATATACAACTTCACAAGTACAAATTCCGCATTTCATTAGCATGACATACATATGGTTCATACAAAAACAACGAAAGAAAAATGCTAGTACTAGTAATGATAATATTAATGGAGAAAGTAGTCCACTTGCTGTACGGGAGCCTCAAATGTGTCATGATGATACATTATTTCTCACTATCTACTTCTTATGTTTTTGGTCAAAGAATTACTTCTGTTTAACTAGAGAACGTCATGTGCACTAACGTGCAGTTTGACGCAGGGGCCTCCTAAAAAGGTTGAAGAACAAAAGGCATAAAAATAAAAATAATAAATAAAGAGGGTGGGGGGTGTACAAGTTGCATCTTCTGAAGCAGCTTTCTTGCCTCGCACCAATTTATCATCTGCAAATACACAACATAATGACAATTCATTTTCATGGTATTGATGGAAAAACACGAGATTCGAGGAATTAAAGTAATTTCAAGATTGAGCAGAAGTAGTGTTTTTGGCCAAGAGTGATGGAACAGAGGGGAGGGAGGGAACCCCTTAATGAAATTCATTACAATGCCAAAACAAACTGTAGTGACATGAGTAAAGACATGCATATATTGTAGATAATAAGATCAGATATTATCAATTCTTTATTTATCTCCAAATCAACTCCAAACACACAACCTAAGGATCTTCTGCCGTTAAGAAGAATTGACAACGTCATAAACAGACTGCTACCTTGATTCTGTAATGTCAACTAATCACCAGAGACGTAACTTTTTCCCTCGTAGTACCTCTTCTCACTAGCTGCTTTCTTCTCATTTCGTTTCTGCAGATATAAGTCATAGTTAGATCCATCACATACATGTTCCGATTCAACCAAGCAAACAGGGCCAGTGCCTCAAAATAAGCATTCAAACAAATGGACAGAATTGCATAATGGCTGAGGGAGGATATGATCAAACTTGAATTTCGCAGGATTTTAAATTTCATCAAGCATCTAAACAGCTAGTTACAGAAGGATGACACCATCATATAATGTCAGACAAAAAAAAAACACGGACTTGACATTAAGAAGAAACTTCAATGACTGGGAGTTGAAAATAATCGTTGATTTCCTCAAGATACTTAATTCCTTTCAAGGCTAGTCCAACGAGGACGACTGCCTTAATTGGAAAATGCAAACTAGAGGACTTTTCTCTGTTAGATCCTTCTACTATGCACTGTTAAGCAATGAAAACCAAATTACTCAATGGCCTTGGAGTCAAATTTGGAAAACTCTTGCATCCTACAAGGTAGCATGCTTCACCTTGCTTGTCCCTAAAAGGGCTTGTCTCACACAATATGTTCTACAAAAGAGAGGTTACCAATTACGTATCAGATGCTTACTTTGTGGCATTCAGAATGAAACTATTGATTATCTATTCCTACATTGGAAGGCTTCATAACAGCAATGACAACATTTTTGGTGTTTGTTGGGTCTACGATGGGTGAAGGTTGATGCACAAGTCATCCCCAAGAGGGTTTTAAGAATCTTTGGTCTATAATCCAAGTATATGGACAGATTTGACGATGATGTTACTCATCGCATTGGGGCAGGGTGGATGAAATGGAGGCACGCATCCATTGCCTTGTGTGATAATAATGTGCCACCAAGACTTAAAGGAAAGTTTTATAAAGTGATTGTCAGCTAAGTTGCTCTGACTCTTCATTTCGGTGTCGCACCCATGTCAACGTGACATGGGTGTGGGTGTGGGATTCGTACCAGATTTGATCAATTGATTTTGGGTACTTCGACCAAAATTGACAGAAATTCAGGACAGATCATTATGATTTCTGTAATAAAAACAAAAACTAAGGTGAAATGGAAGAAAATGGAATAGCTTGTATGTAGAAATTTCTCTATTAGTCCTTTTCCTTTTATCTTCTTCTCGGATTTCCTTCTTGATCGATATTTCTCCTTGAAATACCTTGTATAATGTCTCATAATTCAGACATAATAACTCTATTTTAGATATTTGAATTATTTTTAGCCAATCCCCGCACCCGTATCTAGATTCATACCCCCGAAATCTTAAAATTTAAATCATGAAGAATCGACCTCTAGATCCACACCCATATCAGACACATGCACCCGAGTTTGAGCAACTAAGGTTGTTAGACAAGCTATATTGTATGGGGCTGAGTCAAAGGCATGCACTTCATCGCCTTTCAACTAGAAGCGAGACGCAGCACAGGCCTTTCGCTTTTCATTTGACCATGGGGAAAGATATACACTTTTAGTTGAAAAGAGAGAAGCGACTTGAGCAATAAAAGTGAGATGCGTGAACTTAAGCGATATTAGGGTTTATTAAAAATATTGTAGAAGTATGTGACTGCTGTGAATTATGATTTCATTGTTGTTCTTGTGACTTCTTCATATGCTTCAACTCTTGAAGGTAAGTTCTTTGCTTCTTCTTTTCTCTTTTACCTCTACTGCTACGTACTCTATTGTACTACCGGGGCTGGGTTACTCTTCTCTTCTACTTTTCTATTTTCTTCAATTCTTAGACGCACTGTAATTATTTTGTATGTTCTGCTATGTCTTTTTCCCCATTCTGCTGCTGCAACTTTTTCTCTGTTCTTTAGCTTCATTGTTGTTCTGCTGCTGTAATTTTAATCTAATAATTGAAAGATTTGCTTAATATTATACTTATATTGAATTCTTGAGTGATTTTTATTATTTTGCAGTTAAGTTACAGTCTAGCTCTACATTATCGGCTTTATCGCATAGGCTGCACCTTTGCTTTGTGTCACTATTTAGTACTTGTTACAAAAATTTCCAAAGATGATGTTCAGAAATCCTTGTTCAAATGAATGTAAAAGAAACTAAACAAGTACATATTGGAGGTGAAGTAACCTGGTAAGCCTCATGATTTGACACAATTCTCCTTATTATTGTGCTTGTTGTAATATCTAAAGGACTATCCAATACTTGAAAAATGCCCATGCTAATTGGTACAGCATATGGGTTACCCGTCTCCTGCAATATAAAGTATCATGGTCAACAAACAAAAGGACATTGCAGCCTAATATTCTCGTAAAAGACCACATGTAACCATAGAGTACCTTCTGAAAATCGTTGTCCTCGGCTACTGTTCCATGAACAACTAAAGAGATATTAAATGTTGTTATCTGCACAAGTGTCCAATTGTAGAAAAAGTCAGTACACGATAAATGAGGAGTAACATGATATACTCTATGAGATCAACTCAAGAATGAGAGGAAATCATTTGGTTTCTAATTACAGTTTAGGTAAAAAGTAAAAACATTAAATTTCTTAATCTCCAAAAGGAAATTTTCTGATCAATAGAGATCCTATGGAAACAATGCAAAATGAAGATTTCCAGTCAAAACCACTAAGTAGTGAAATTTCCTCTAATCAAATATGAATTATGAAAAAAAAAATATGTATGACAGTCAACAGACAACAATGTAATAATTTTCCTTTTGGGGAGAAGAGATGAAGTAAGATGAACCTAACTTTTATATATGTTTTCCAACAAGGTGGAGCAAGTTAGCCCATTATTAGGATAATTACAACAACTAGAATCTGAACTCTTTTGAGCAAAGCAAATTACAAACGAAGCAAGGGGAGAACTGAGAACTGTGGGATCTGAGGGCCTCCCATACCATTTAAGCCAACCAAATAGGCAAAGAATATTAAGAGTCTTGACTTTTTGCTACAGAGGACCAGTATCTATCAAGGACAAAACTAATTCTTTTTTTTTTTTGAAACTGGTAAATGTGTATTCCTCAGCATTAAGGACAACTAATTCTACTACACTTTCAAAGGCAATGAAAAGAAAAGAATCTCAATGACATATGTTTGAAAGATCTTTGTTTCCTAACATATACAAAACCAACCTTTTGGTCAAACAAAACATATACATGAAAGGACCTCTAAGACTATGACATATCCACATAACAAGAAAGAGATCTTAAAACTACGGAATTATTCATCTTTCATTTTTTCATTTCATCCAGCTTTTATTTTCACAAGACAAAAAAATCAGTCCCACACAGACCTTTCGAGGCCCTACCAACACCGGAAAGGATTGACCAAGACTGGGACAGGCAGATAGTCGATGGCAAAGCTAATGGTGAGCGGTGACATCAACAGACCAAAATTCAGGCGTTAAGGTGTGAATATCCAGAACCGACAATCTCAAGTGACAAGGGAAGATCTTCAGTTGTCGGAAAAAGGATTTTGGCCGGAAAAGAACTTCCAACGACATGCATCAACGCCTGGAAAACCAGACTAACGTGAGGTGAAAGCCTTCGATAGCTTGAAAACTAGAGAAAGGCCAGAAAAATTTTCCACCAGTGACCTACAACAATGACCTTCGACCTATGTTCTCAGATATGGGTGTGGGCATCCAACACAGGTACGGATATAAAAACCGTGTTCATCATCACCTATATATAAAGAACAGAAATATAGGAGTATGAATACGGGTGTTAAGATACAATTAATAAAGGTATATGACAATATACATAAGTATATATTTCGACAATTAATTGAAGTTTTTAAGTTATAACAGGTAAATATTAATTTTTTTGTCAGCACTTAATATTTTATTCATTAGTTATCTCGTATACTAGCACAAGTTCTGGTGCTTTATGTGAATACTTATATGACTTAATCCCAAAATCAAATCAAATATCCAATCGACCTATACTTCTTGTTTATGGGTGTAGTCAAAGGACCCAAGTTAGATTAAAAAGTCGCCAAATCCAGTGTGGATCCCACACCCAAATCATGCTGGACCAAAATGTGTGCACAAGAAGAATTTTGAATTGGGCCTTTCAAAGAAATCAAAGTATAAAGAGATGACCATAAAGAGAAAAAGGAAGAGAGATGATCAACTCAATGTTAGACACTTTGCTTACATATGTGATGTCTTTATTTCCTATTCCTAGCAAGGTGGTCAAGACTTTGGAGTTTGGACAGTTTGAGTAGGAATTTACTGTGGCAAGGAAATGAAGTGCGCAAAGGATTTAACTTGGTGAAATGGGAATCAATTCAGCAAAGCAAAGTGTATGGAGGTTTGGGGGTCAAAAACTGAAAGTTAAAGAATAAAAGTCTACTTATGAAATGGTTATGGAGATATAACGAGACTTTGTGGAAAGAATTAATCCAACATAAACAGGGCCAAGCTAAACAATGATGCACAAATATTGTTACAGATACTTTTGGCGTGGGGGTATGGAGGATCATTAGAGCTTTCTGGTCAGCCTTGACCTTTGAAGGTAAATTCAAATTACAAGGTGGGCAGGGGTGACAAGATCTTATTTTGGAAGGAGAACTGGAGTGGACAGGGGGCATTGCAGGCTTTATTTCCTGGACTATTTTCAATATGCACCAATCCTGAAGTCAAAGTAGGGGAGATTTGGTCCCCTCAGGGCTGGAATTTAGCTTTCAGAAGGTTGTTAAATGATTGGGAAATAGCAAGGGTAGCAGATCTGTTGACAATAATCAGTGGTTTCCTAGGATTTAATATGGAAACACCACCGGGATGGACTGTTCTCAGTAAATAGGGTGTACATAGGGGGATAAGTGAAGTAATACGGAGGTTAACAGGAATCTGGAAATCTTGTATGAAAGAGTGGCACAACTAAGGTGAAAGCTTCATCTGGCTAGTAGTCAGAAGAGCTTGTCTGAAAGCACTACAGAAAAAGGGAAATCTACATTGCTTCAAGGTTCTCATTATGTAAGGAGGCTTTGGAGACAATCAACCACCTTTTTCCTACATTGTAATTTGTACAGTTAAAGCACAAGTGTAGGTGTTATTCATCAATTTGGTTAAAGTGAACTGGTCTATGCCAGAGAATACTGCTGTCTTTTAAGTTGTTGGATTAGGAGGGAGGTAGCAAGAGCCAGAAGATTTGGTGAAAAACAGTACCTGCATGTAAGTATTTGGTGGAACATTTTTTAGGAAAGAAATGAAAAGATTTTTGAAGGCAAAGAACACCATACAGAAGATTAGTGGAAGGTCATCGCTCCTTTATGTTTTTGGTGTAAAGAACATTGTATAAAAGAGGAAGTTCAGTTAGTTTGACTTCATAGGATTACTGTAATTAGTTTCTATTATGTGTAAATTGTTGGAGGTAGCCAGCATGCCATTAATGCAAAGGAATACAAACTTACCAATTTCAAAAACAGGAAACTTTTGAAAGTTCTGAGCAACATAACCTTCGACCCAGATTCAGAATCATTTTGGCTCAAAATGTGGCACCAAACTTTGGGGGGGCGAACCTCAGTACAACAGAAGGAATCCTATAAATCAGTCCCTGACCATGCCAAAAAGAAGCAGAAATCATGGAATATAGGGGAAAGGAGTCAATGATGAACTTAGTGCAAGGAAGAAGAGAAGGGGTGAGGGGGAGGACACATAGTGTGAGAGAACTAATGAAGGAAGGAATGTAATTATAACCTCAAGCCAACACTGATAAGGAAAGAAGGATAACTGAATGGATAGGGGGAAATTCCATTGGAGTTTTGGAAGATTTGTCAGGGTCTCTTATATAAGGGGAACAAAGACAAGGTGACAGACATTCTTATTGCTATTGGAAAAAAGAGCAAAAGAAGTAAATGCATAGAAAGGGAGGAAAGAAAGGAAAGAGAGAAAAAGATGAGAGTAAATACAGATCCCGACAAATGATCAAAACAGATTGTATTGTGTTATTATGTTTTTGGTGTACAAAGAGTTCCCTATAGATGCAGAAGCAATCCTAGAAGTATTAGAATCATGCTAGGCTTGCTGTTTCTGTTCCTAGATTTTCATACTTTTTTGTAAAGGGGTTTTCAGTACTACATAAGTACTGGTTTATAACACAAATCGTTACCTTCTCAAAAAAAGAAAATTAGTCCAGGGAAGAGAGTAGAAGAGAGGCAAGGAGAAGAAGAATATGCCAGAAATTCATCGACGAATATTCAGCGGATGAATGACCAAATAGAACGACAATCAAATAGGCAAGTCTCATAGAATGTGGAACGAACTTGATATGCTTTCAAGACACATAAAAGAAACGGAGGAAAAATAAAATAGTGAGGAGTAAATAGAGAGATGAGTAAGATATGAGATACTTCTGGCAAGGGAGAATATTGGAAGGGTCTTAACTACAGTAGGATGAGATGAATTGGAAAAAGAGGATGTGGGAAAAGGCAAGCACTTATAAGTGCCAAGATTTAAGGGAAATACAGGTGGAGTAGATTTGGGGGTAGGAAGTGTAAGAGCCAATGGGGAGAATCAAATGAGGTTTCTGGAAGAGTTGTCAAGTGCAATGGTGGCACATACCACGGGTATGGAGGAGAGAATTTTAACACCATAAGATTTTCAGGAAAAAATAGGTGCAGAATTGTGTCGACAGTTATGAGGAGTTCTCGGAGCTCAAAAATAACCATCTTCTTGGCCTTTCTTTGAGAGGTGCAAAGTGCAGGTGAACTAAAGAGGAATCAAATCAAAGTTGAGGCCGAACAAGTTCTTGATTACACCCAATAAGAGGAAATGATTTCTAACGTGAATTAAATCCCACTTTCCGAACTTAATATCATAGTGTTATTTATTTTATGAAGAACGTTAGATCAGTCTTATTATGTAGGATTGCACAAGAAACCCTTTGGGTTCGACAATATGGTTCAAAGTTGCAGACTCCAAGGATATGATGACAGAGTCGAGCAGCTATTAACTATTAGATCTCAGGGAGTTGGAAAGCGAACATTTTGTCTGGCAGAAAATATGAAGTCATTGAAAGGAGATTTTGATGTATAGAACAAAGATGAATGTGGGCAGATAGATATGGAAACAAGAGAGTTGATGAACAAACTAAGGGCCTTAAAAGGTGTAGATGGGAGAAGGAGTTGAAACAGGTAAAAATGAAAAAAGAGGAAAAAGGGGAATAACAATGATGGCAGATGGAGACTTATCCCTGCTTCAATATGGTGGGCAATATGGAAAGAGAGGAACTCTAGGTGTTTTGAGAGCATAGAAAATAGTGTGCAGAAAGTGAAGCTCAACTGCATTTTACTATTATGATTTTGGTGTAATCAGTTATACTCAAATGATATTGTCTCTATAATTGATGTTTTAGACTCAATTTAGCCATAGAGCAATAAGAATTTGGGGCTTTTGTATATAAGGTTTCAGTACAACCCATGTACTGTTTTGTGATATAATACAACCTTACCAAGTTCAAAAAAAAAACAATGATGGTAATAGCCAGGAAATAATCTGAGACAAAAATCGAGGGCTCTCTGGTTGGAGGAGGAAAATACTAACAAAAATTATTTTCCATAGGTTAAACATGGCAAATAAGAGGAAAAACCTGCCGCCTTCAACTCTGCTTCTCGCCCATTTAAGGTGGTTTCTTAGTTGTGTCTCTTCCTCTGTTATGATCCAACTCCCACAGAAGTCTCCGATGTCTTTGAAAGTCGTTTGCGACCAGAGATGCAGTGGAAGACCTATGGCCCAAGTCCAGGTCGAGCTTGGTCTAGTCTTCCAAATTTGTGGCCACTATCGTTGGAGTCCACCAATCCAGACAGATTTTTGAGTTGTTTCAGACCCAATTGCCTCCAATCACCTGTTCCGCTGTGATTCTTGTCGCAAACTTGAACAAGAACTTTCCAGACCCCGTCTCATAAATATTCAGACCATGATTTTGCCTCCAAATCTTACTTGCCCATCTCCTCACCTCCAACGGCGTTGGCATCAACATATTCATTTCTTCGAAATTTCCAACTAAGCTTCTTTGTAGGACTTCATTTTGGATATTTAAGGTATCATTAATGCTAATGATCTCCTCCTTCATTAATGTTGGTCATTATCTCCAACCCATTTCCTGTTTGACTATTTAAAGCTCCTCACAGCCTCTGCAAAAGGGTTATTACTATCCACTAGCCTCTGCTTTATTCTATTTTCCTCCATTCTATGACTAGAAAGGAATCTCCCCATTTCGTCCGCTATATTGTCCTATCCTGAGTTAAAAGTCATCTCCGAAATGATGATAACGGGCCTCTCCTACCCCTTATGTTTGTCAAACTAATGTATCTATCGTATTTGTTGAAGTTTCTTGCACAGTAGATTTCTGAGAGAGGCTCTATTTTCTTCCACCTCCTAACCACATTTCCTTTCATATTTGAAGCTTCTCGCATGACCTGAGTGATCCAGATCATAGATTTCTTGTTGAAAGAAGTTCTTGTGATGGTGTTTTTGCTTCTTTCAGTCCATTCGTACCATCCACCAGCTCGCTCCTTTGATTTTCTCGAGATCGAAAGATTTACTCCTATCACAAAGTAAATACAGTCCTCCATTGGAGTGGAGAAAGGTTTAAGAGAAGGAAAGGGGTGAGGATGGTGATTCCCAGTGATCAGAAGGACCACCGCAAGGGGGAGATTAGGATGGGTCTAGGTCATTACTTGGGAATTGTGCCTGGGAGCTTTTTCTTTTTGGATATCATTACTTTTTTTCACTTCATATTTTTGCCAAAGACTATCAAGGTGACAACTCCTCATTTTCTCAACGAATGTGGGACACTCATAACACTCTCTACCTCACGCTCAGGACTGGACATTTGGAGAGTGGATAATAACATAGGGTCCCAACATTAGGAAACACAACAATGATAGGTTCATCTCTAATGCTAACGTTCAATTGTGTGACCATATAATCTAAAAGCTTAAGCTGTTAGAAAGGACACATTTTTTGAAATTCAATCATGTCTTCAACACGCCTGCGCTTGAGTGTGGGCCTGATTCGGTCCACACGAGGATATTTCTGAAAGTCAAAACTGAAAAGCTTAAGGCCGATGATTTTGGGTTCATGGTGCTGTTATATGCAGAAATAAAGATACGACCTGAGTTTAATCTGATATCTGTCAGAAAACACTAAGTAAGACACTACAAGAGAAACACCGCCACTACGTAGAGTCGTAGAGAACATGTCATATCACCATCAGTCATTAAGCCATAATCTGGAAAAAGATAACTAATATAGCAGATATCATCAATCTGATTTCCATGAAAATTAAGAGAAGTCATAAGTGATCTTGGATTCATAAATAACATGCAGAAGGTTCATGCAAGTGTTAATGATAATTTCATTAATGTCATTACTGTTTAGCTCCAAAGATTAGAGACGTAATAACGTCTCTAATCTTTATTACGTCTCTTCAAAAAAAGATTAGAGACGTAATAATAAAAATGTTGTGAATTTTTCTCTCTGCTTTTAGCATCCTTGCGCTTGGACCACCGTCAATAAAGAGATCGTAGGAAATCACTGGAGTGGACGAGTACTAATAGCAATAAGAATGTTACAAATGATTTTCAGAAAAGTGTTCATATGAGTAGAGATTACCATATCTTTTGACACCTCCCTTGGAGCACCAATAATCACTTCATCAGCATAGCGACAAGCCAAAACACTTAGGCTCCTTTCATGAAGATTCATAATTGGACGGTGTACACCTCTATTGGCACTGTAAAAGACGGTACAGAATGGAAGATGAGATCTTTGACTAAACTTGCAACTAACTAACCATACTTCGTTGTGACAAAGATAAATTGAGCTCCCAGACAGTAAACATGCTAAGAGGAGAAGAAACAGACAGGTAACAAGCTATTTTCTCCACAAAAACCTCAACTACTGACTGTAGATAAGCACAATTAATTCAGCATTTTCTAGCTATCAAAGTATCCAGAGTCCCTATTTGAAAGTACAATCTTAGAGTTTTCATAAAAATGCAAAAATAAAAATAAAAAAATCAATTATACTCCAATGACACTGTACCAGTAATCGATGCTTTAGACTCAATATAGACTGAAAACAGTGGAAAAGGAGACATCTGTATGTATGGTTTCAGTCCAACCCATGTACTGTTTTGTGATATAATACAAAGTTGCCTATTTCAAAAAAAAATTAAAAAAATCAACTAATCTTCACTGTTGGGTCTCTCTCTCCACCACACCCACCCCCCACATCCCCAAGCTTGTCTTCTTTTCCTCTTCTATTAGCTATCTGCAGTTATATTCCTCCCATCTCCTTATTCTTTTAGACTAAATGAATTTCAACAAGATAGAAATAAACACAAAAGATAGTAACATAAAGCATATGTCTCTATTTCCTCGAGACATCAGCTCTAAAACCATAGTCCATCATATAGAAAGTACATGTTTTTTAAAAAAAAATTGAGAAGGTAACATCATATTAGAAAGTAAATGTATTCTCAAGAAAATAGACAATGAGCATTTATTATTCAAGGTTTCAGGATTCTTGGAATAATATTCCCTTACTCTTAACCACAATGAAAACAACTAATATGGCACTGTAGCATATTTCCGAAGAACTCTTTTTTTAACTCGACAGTCGACATGCAACTAACCCACGCCAGTTAGTCGATTGGCTTCACAAACAAGGAACATCACAGGACAACCATGATGTATGAGGTGGGGGCAGGGAACAATGGAGTTTTTTCAGTCAAGTCATATTACGAGAAGCTCCTGACTTGGAGAAGGTTGCATTTCCACATAAAACGATTCAGCACCCTAAGGTACCAAGAAAAGAGTGCTTCTGGCTAGCAACAAGAGAGGTGATATTGACGGCCGAAAAAACCTAGGAAGAGAAGGTTACATACATTAGTTGGTGCTTCATGTGTAAATGTTCGGGTGAAGACGTTTACCATCTCCTCTTTGTTGCCGAGTAGCCTCAAAATTATGTCTTATTTTGGAGTAACTCGAGTGATGCCAAGCACAGTGAAAGAGCTAATTGTTCAGCTGGAATTGTGGTAGGCGGAGGGGAAGATGCAGAGCATGGAGTGTTGCTCAACTAGCCCTTATGTGAGTCATTTGAAGAAACAAAGATAGGAGAGCTTTTGAAAATGTAGAGATAAGTTTGCAGATTTGAAGAATAACCTCTTATCCCTTATTTCCTTTTGGTGCACTCATGAAATTTTCTAGTTTTTGGAGTACTTCTGTACCGGTGATTTTGTGACCAAATATTTTTTCATAAAATTATTAAGTTGTCAAAAAGAGTACGTAAAGTGTTCCTTTTCTATCTTTTTTTGAGAAGGAAGTGTTTCTTTTCTACCTACTAACACTTCTCAAGGAATATGTGTGACAATTGGACAATGTATCATAGCAGGCTGTTTAAGTCTCATCGTCATCCATAATTTTCTCTAACATGATAAGCAAATATCATATTAGTACTCTACTTGACATTCTTAGTTCCCAACAAGATTGCTACGATATTTGTTTATCATGTTAGAGAAAATTATTAGGCATATACTAGAACCTTCAAGAAAATCACATGTAAATAAATTAGTATGTTGATTTCAGACAAAGGATGAGTTTTTACAACTATTATGTTAGGGTTTTATCAGGACAACGGAATCTCCAAATACAAAATATTTTAGTACGTGAGGGCTGTGGATAAGCAGATTGAGAGCGCAGAAGCACACCATATTACCTTACAGTTTGATCAGTATGAATGCCTACTAGTAGAAAGTCTCCAAGTCCTCGAGCAAGCCTTAGTATCTAAAATATTAACAGAGAAGTGAGAAAATGAAGCTGCACTCTGAGCATGCATTAGATGTAACATAAAAAGAGACTAATAAGCACTGAGAAGAAATACAGCAGGGAAAAGAGATAACATTTTTCTGTAGAAAGTCTTTTGGGGATCACAAAAAAACTTATTCAAAGATGTTGAAGTTTTGCGAAAATCTCCTAAGAGTTCTTCAAAGAGGTGGTCCAAAGAATGGGTATCAGCAATTTGTCGAAGAAAAGTCATTCTACTTTTACCCACATAACACTTGCGAATCTTCAAAAAAACTACAATAGTTCAAACACATTTCTTTTTGCATAAAACTATCCAAGCAAATTTCTTTTGCATAAACTTTTTCCCCCAAAAAGTTGTTCCGAAAAAAGTTCCAAAAGTTGTTCAAACAGCTCGAAGAAAGTGAGTTTAAAATATTAGGCAAAAGGTTGGAATTTCCCACATGTTATTGTAGCAATGGTCTTGTACATATTAGATGACTCAAAATGGATATCCAAAAGATAAAGCTATTATGTAAGAACACATTTATTCCTTTGGTTGGGTCTTCAAGAGAATTTCTTTGCACCCACCCAATTTCATTTTTCACTAAAAACATGAAAATTGCAACGACTATTAACTATAGTACCATGTTGAATGTTGTGGATCACTTCAATCATAAACTAAAGTTACTAAAGGAGACTACACTTGTTTACCTTTTTATATGATTCTTTGATATACAAGCATCCTTATCTTTGTAATGTCCTAAAGCTAGATTGCTTACCTCTACATGTCCAGCATGGAAAAGATCAAAGGCACCATCAATATAGACTATGCGAGCATCAGGTCCAGCTCCCTACACAAACACGCTCGAAAACATTATAACTTATAAGCAACAAATGTACTTCCTAGCAGCAACATGGAAATAAAAGATGAAAACAACCGAGGCGATGTTTTAAAATATCAACTGATTTCCCTAAAAAGATCATAAGCTAATGTAAGACAGATCAGGCATTGATGCTTAAATGATAAATTGAATATATTCAAAAAAAAATTATCATATTTGCTCACATTCGACTTAATTATGTGTCGATTGTAATATTTAAAGGCTTAATTTTGTGAATCTCTGGTGTTGGAAGCTAATAATTGTGAAGTGTGATGAATATGCAAGCTCCGGCAGCAAATTAGTGCAAAATGAAGCCCAAAGATAAAGTTAAATATGGAAAAGGAGCAAAGAAATAAGCTAAGATGCCAAAATGAAGCAAGAAAAACAAACACGCAAAACTAATACTACAGTGCAGCACACTGGATGGGGCGTGACACACCCTGGGCTGTCTGAAAGATTTTTTATTTAGGGTAGTTTCAGTAAAAAAAAATTCTTTTGATGCAAAATTATAAACAGTGGGCTCATTGGTAGGTTTATATCAAACGTTCGAGAATTTTGGAGGATATTCAATGGACAGCTAGAGGTTTTCAGGGTTTTTCTCCTTTTTCTTTCTTCTTGATTTTGTAATTTTTATTTTGATAAACTTGTGTTGTTTTTATGCTATGAGTCATTCAACTCCTTGTTCTAGGTCACGGGGAAATTGACATGAATATAGTGGTCTGAATCTTATTTATTTCAATGAACTGCTTTTGCTTCATGGGTTATTTATTCAATCTTGTGCTTAATTTTTTTTATTTATTTTTTTATAAGGAGTTGCCTGGGTTTGATCTTGAGATGGGAATTGCCAGTGCTACAGCGGAATTTATTTGTTTAATTGGATGATCACCAATTGAACTCTACTTACAGATCCTAATTGAACTTGAAAAAGTGATGGAGTTACCTATAATTGAAAAGTGCAAATTTATGCATCTAGGCAGTAGGGGTTTGATTAGTGGACTTCTTCTGACCTCGGGTTTACTCTTCCTTCTGCAGTTTGTGGTTATTTGGAAGGAAAAAAAGCTAGGAATTTTGAGAGCAAGAATGACAAAGTAATTAATCTTAAGAACAGGTGCTTCTTTCTTTTTCTGCTTAGGCTTTGATGCAACATCTCCTGCTGTAAATGTAAATGATACTGATGCCACCGTTGATTTACTAAGCACATTACACAACTTGTGATGTTACCACATTTTGGTTGTAACAGATTGCCATCATTTCCCATTTGATGGTTTTCATATAAAAATTACAGTTCACCTATCAAAAGAAAAAAAATCCACGATATTTGAAGCTTAGCATCCCGTATATAAACTCAATGAATCAGTATATCTTTCACTTAGTTATTTACTGTTTTTGTATCTTGTGTTTTTCTTTCAGTGTTAGGTATTCTCTGAGAACTACACTTAAGTTTCTCCCACGACCAATATCTAGACAGATGTAAAGAAATCGCCTTCCATTCCTTTTTTTTCTGAAACTGGTAACGATATATTAAAGTTGCACCATAACAGTGCAAAAGCACTATCGAAAACCCAACCAAGCTTATGCTACTGCTTCACAAGGATCTTATCACATCAACTAGTGAATCAGTCTCCTCGCAAGGATCCTATATCCCTGGAAAAATTGAACCCTGATTTCCCAGAGATAATTCCAACTTTATTATCCATTTTTCTTGATTCTTTTTCTTCTTCTTCTTTTTTTTTTGGGGGGGGGGGGGGGGGGAGAACTAAAACCCTAAGTTGTACTACTCTCAGATGTTTATCACGTCAGAACCCCATGGATTCCCCCTTTTGTTTTTCTTCCCTTAACCTATTCAGCAGCCACATATAAAATACTTCAAAGCCTCCCAGTTTTGCACGTCTTTTAGAAATTTAACATAAGAAAATCAGAAAAATATGATTATTCTCTCACTGCTTAATTTTCTAGTGATCTGCTCCTTGTCCCAAATCACCACGAGACAAGATGAGTTCTAAAATTTGGGCCAGTTTAGTCTTCAGAATCTGAGAATCTCCTGCTTTTCCTAAATAGTTAACTCAAAACTCCTCCTTTTTTCTTTTTTTTTGGAAGGAAACTTAAAAGAGGCGACACACTAATGAAAACAATCACTTTATGACGAATTTATCAGGCAACAAGAAAACCTTAAAAGTTTTGCTTCATGCTTTGTGAGGAATGAATTTACCACAGAAAAAGATTATATGAAAGAGGCTGACCTTCGAATTCGAAAATTGTACAATTCTACGAGACGTAGGAAGAAAATGAGATACGCGTGTATCGCTCCCAGCACCACCGTCGTCAGATTTTTGGCTGTGACCATGGCTAAATTGTCTCTGCAAGGAGGCATGACTGGGGGAGTCAACAGTGGTCCTCTCCCTCACACAAAGAAGCATTCGACCTACATGGCAAATTTATAAAACAAATACTATTTACACAAACAGTATTAGCACCTATACGCTCTAGCAATTTAATTATTGAAAATTTTAGCTTTTGAATATTAACAAATGCCAAAACATCTTCACATCAGTAATCTAACTTGCATAAATAGCAAGGCAAGGCACTGATAAGATGCTGCCCAGCAGCTCCAAGAAAAGAAAGAACTAGCCATTCCAACACAAACCAATGCCCAACTTCGTTTTGAAAGAGGAGGTTTACATTGCCAAAGAATCAAGAGAACAATACATACCAACAATATCAGTGCTTGAAACTCCTTCTGTGCGCTTGATTTGCTTATAGCGACCAACCTTCTTAGCAAGGGCATAAGCATCAGTTCCATCAGGAAGAAGACAAGGGTCATCCCCATGAATAATATAGTCTATGTTATACTCATCAAATAGTTTCCTCATAAATTCTTCAGTAATGGCATAGGGGGCATCAGAGATGACTTCATCCACCCACTTCACAGCACCAACCATAATCATCCTAGGACAAATCAACAAGCAAGATACTGAGTCAATTCTTTTGATCAAAAATCTATCCCAAGCAACAGACAAAACAATAATAATCATCACAGTCAAGTACAGCAAAAGAGCTCTAATGGTAGTTGCCATGATTTTATTTGTTAAATTCCTTTGATTCTTTCAAGGGCAATGGTATCAGACAACAAGCAAAATGATGAAATGAAGCCATCAGTTGATTAGTAAAGTTCGGGTGCAAATGGTGGTGTTCTGAGCCGAGGAATTCCGTTCTTTTAACCAAACCCTTGCCATGATAATCAAATCGTGATATCCTAACAAGCCAAACTTCACCCTGATCTGAGGTCTCCTCTTTAGGCAGTTCAACACTCTATAAAACCTTCTTTCAGTAACCCAAAAAAACCATCCTCACCCAAAATACACTCTATACAGTTGAACACTCTATAAAACCTTCTTTCAGTAACCCAAAAAAACCATCCTCACCCAAAATACACTCTATAGACCTTGTTTCTGTAACCCAAAAAAACAATCTTCGCCAGTTCCCGACTGTAGAGAAGATTTCCAAGGAAAAGTAAATGCTTTAATGTTTTGGAAGAAAGATCCCCCCTACTAGAACCAATCAATCAAACAAGCTAAAACAGAGAGTAACACTTAACCGAAGCAACAACAAAACTAAAGCACACTACTGAGTGCACATAAAGATAAGATATTTCAAGTGGATACAAAGCCAAACCGATTTGAATTTTTTTTTAAAAGTACAAATCCGAAATGTCAGAACAAAGAAGAGCGCAAAAAACCTCTCATGAAGAGGAGTGACAGGAGGGCCTTTATTCGCTATAATTTCCGCATCGCTAACAACTCCAACAACCAATTGGTCACCAAGAGCCCTAGCTTGTCGAAGAGCATTACAATGACCATAATGCATCATATCAAAACAACCATCCATATACACCCTTATAGGTCTCTTCTTCTTCTTCGGCAAAGCAAATCTCAACCCAAGCACAGACAACCCTAACACCGCCCCTCCTACAATCCATGTCGCAACGAACCGCGAACTCTGTTGCACATTCTCCGATCGTCCTCCTCCTCCCTCTGAACCCATTATTCCAAAAATTCCTAAATTATTAGTCACTAATCTAACAAAAAGCCTGCCAACATCCTCTAATAACGCTAATGAATCAGTCAGTTTTCTCCAGAATCTGTGAGTTCCATTCTAGACGAAAGCGCAAAAGCTCAAAACGTCCTCACTTTTTTCATATATAACGCCGTTTTCATCTCCCTTCTAATGGTTTATGAGACTTGACCGAACACTTGTACAACAGTGAAACAAACGTAGCGTAACAGGTAGAGTATCAATCGTTGGTTATTGCAAGGCCAACCTTATAAGTCATTGAAATTAAGAAGAGGTCCATCAACTTTGGCTTAATGCATATATTGACATCTTTACTTGCACATAGGGGTGTTCACGGTTTGGATAAAAATCGATCCAAACCGAAAAATTAAATCAAACCGATAAAATAAAATCGATTTTATTTGGGTTTGGTTTGGTTTGGTTTTAGATATTTGAAAACTGATAGTATTTGATTTGGTTATGATTTTATTCGGGAAAAAAACCGAAGAAATAACCGAACCGATGAATTATATACATATATTTTGTTAATATACATACTTAATGTATTATTTTTATAAACAATTTTAAAGATCTTATACATATTTTCATTAAAATTTCTTTATAATTTACTTATTGAAAGAAAAAATGTCCAAGATGAAACATTTATCTTATTGATTTCATGTATATGAGTGTCTATGTCAATTCTTTGTGGGACTGAAAATGTTATTGTCTCTTCCTTCTAGGCCAATATAATGAATTTTAAAGCTTTATTGATAGTAAATTTAGTGATAGAAAGTTTAGTAATTTAAGTCATTCTAACTATTTTTCATTTGGAATGGATTGTTGTCACTTTTTTCACATTTTAAATGAATTGTTTCTTTTATTTTTGTGTATGGTTAATAACCGAATAATCGAACCAAACCAAACCGAAACCGATAATCACCAAACCGATAAATGTATATTATATTTGGTTTGGTTTGGTTTTGATAATTTGAAAACTGATTAAGTTTGTTTGGTTTTGATTTTTACCAATAATCGATCCAAACCAACCCGTGAACACCCCTACTTGCACACGTTTAACTAACTACATGTAGAGTTGTCAAAAAGGGTCGGCTCAGCCCCACCCGACCCAAGCCTCACGGGCCAAGTAATTTGATGGCCTAGGGTGGGTCGGCCCTTCATTTGAAATGGCCTAAAAATGGTCAATCCAACTTAACCCTAGAAAGGTCGGGGGTTAGGGCGGGCTAGCCTTTTGTTTTTTCTTTTCAAACTTAAAATTCTATAACATCAAGAAAATGGTAAGATTTTCAAATCAAATATTGCAAACAATTGTGTTGTTTCAATAATACTAGAAAAAAAACTAGTGTGGTTAACATATATCTAGGATACTAGATACGCGAGATACATGTATATGTTGTGATGCATCTCAGATACGTGAGCGAAATATGAGAGTGACGAACATATGGGAGGGAGGCGAGGGTTCGAGATTTGTCTAAGTATCCTATATACATGTGAATCCACATAGATAGAGTGTATCTAGAACAAATTAACCTTATTTTGAGTCCATGTATCCCGAATACATGTATCTAGACATTCCAAAATCTGGTAAGATTCGTAAATTACAACATAGCGTGCATTTAAGTAATTAGCTCTTAGACTAGTGAGATTATTGTAAGTTACCCTTAAATAAATAGTTCTGGACCATGGGCCTACTCCGGTCCGGCCCCAATCAAGCCTTAAGGGTTAAGGGCTTATATGAGTCGGGCTTATAAGCCCTAGTTTTAAATAGGCTTGAAAAATCCTATCTCAACCCTACCCCAATAACATGTAGGGTTGGGCTGGCCCCATGGGATAAACCCATTTTGACAACTCTAGTTACATGATTTCACATTTAAACATTTCTAGTTGGTTAAATTAACCACATATTTCTAACATTTCAGCATGATTTATCACCATGTGTGTTCGTCATATTAGACTCAATCCACAAAATTATGTCATATCAACGAAACATCATGTTTAAACAAGACATGAAAATAAATCTACAAATTTATGTCACTCAATAGCTTATACTCGATCACTTATAATTCACCTTATACAATATTTTGTACTAACACTCTGAATCTGGAAGTGTTGCACTCATACTTGCATGTTTTGATAGACAAATAGACAAACTTTTGTCAGCGGTGTTGGCCTTATTACTTTTGTGCTATTAGCATGATAACCTTATTGACTTTAAATGGCCAAATGACCCCCTAACCTATTAGCCAACTCCCAACTACACACCAATACTTCACGGGGGTCATATTACTCCCCTGAACCTTTTATTTTTGATATTTAGTAGCCCTTAAATGCTGATGTTGCTTCCAATTGCACACGCAAGTGTACGTGGTCGCGCAAGTAATATAGATTCTTTAAGAAACGAGTTATCGTTCCCAAGGGACTTGTTAATTAACTATTTACTAAATTATACCAGTCTAATTATTTATTCAAAAGAGCCAAAAAAGAAGAATGCAAGAACAAAATAATAAAATTACTTACAATAGTTGGAAAATCCCAAGGCTGCAGCATGTATAGGATTTCATGTATCATATTTTTGGCTTAGAATTAATTTCAGTTGTCAAGTTACTGGTTTATAGGGTTGATAGTATGGTCCGGGTGGTTCGCCTCTCGCCGCCTACCCCAATTAGCCATCTAACTACATCGTTGAGCGGGGATAGATAAACTAACTAGCGAGCATTTATATTTCATCCTATTTCATAACCAAGAAAGGTGTTCGTCTGGGCGTCACTCCTGAACACTAATCACCTCAATCTAATGGGTGGACCGAGCTCTCTATATCCTCTGGTCTATCTAATCCCTCCTCGTTCGATTTTAAGATTAGACAATATATTTATCTCATGGTGATCAAACACAAAATACTAAAACAAGAATATAGAAGTAACTTATAATGACAACCAAGAATTAATTCGAAAACCTTAAATAATCAACATTGAATCCGTAGCTACAGCCCCAAAACAAGGGCTTTAGCTACTAATCTCTAAGAAAATAAGAAGAAGAAAAAGAAGAAGAAGAAAAGAACCCTAAAAAGTATTGACGACTTTCTCTTCAAAAGTGCCTCCTCCTTACTCTATATTGATCCCCCCAATAATTATTTCTATGGACTATTTATAGATGCAGAAAATCCTAATTAAAATAATTGAATCCAAGACAAATTAAGGAAATCCAAACGCAAATGGAATTGAATTCCTATTTCACGCTGAACCGCCTCAACAATTAGCGGGGCTTCCTTGGCTGCCACGTGGCAGCAGTAATATTCTCCATTCAAGTTTCCGGTTGAATGTGCACTTTGCAGCATATAATTTTATATATTATTATATTCAATTTAATCCTTTAAGCTGTCTGTTTGATTTTCTTATATAATTTTTCATCTTTAATTCGTTTTAGCTCCAAACTTCTTTAACTTTACTCCAATTTACTCCTACAAATAAAATACATTATTTAGCTAAATCCATAAAATTAATGCAAAAAAGGACAGATATAAATAATAAATGTGAGGCAAATAACGATTAAAAATATGTATTTTTGGCCTCACATCAGCTGACATGTCCAAAAAGGTGAATACACTTTCCTTAGGCGCGTAAGAACTTATCTACAACATATAATTTGCGTTTTAAATCCACATGTAAGATGAAACCAGCCTAAAATTAAAGCTGCTAGTTGTAGCTTGCATTTTTTGGCCATTTTCTTGAAAAAAATCTTCTTTCTTCGTCCTCTTTTCCTCCATTTTCAAAGCTTGAGTTTTATCATCTTCCATTTCAAAGCTTCCAATGGTATCTTCCATTTGAAAGTCTGATGTTGTGGAGGTTCGTAATCCTCTCTAATGCTCTCCGATTTCAAATTTAGTGTTCGAAATTTTTCTCCCCTATCAAAATTATAAAAAGTACCGAGATTCATCGATAAGGTTTGAAATTTCTTCTCCTAGTCGATGTCCATAATATAAGTTATTTCCCTCTTCGCCTCATAAATATAAAATCACAGAAAACGTACACACATTATTTTCCTCCTCCCTCTAAGAAGAAGAATCATGAACATACGTTTCTCCTCTCCATCACTAGATTTGCCCCTCAAGATTAAAAAAATTGTCAATTTTTACTCACTTGGGTCACCATAACTATGTCTTCTTCTGCTAATAGAATAAGCTAAGCAAAAATGAATGTTTCAAAATTAATTCTTGAAATGGTAAAAAGTGAAGTAGTAAGAAAAATAATTTCTGGATGTACACCATTGGAGTTGTAGAAGAAAGATTGATACACAATTGAATCATACATATTATTGGTTAGTGTGAAATTAGAAATTTCATCCTAACTTAAAGAGAAAAGTAAAGGAAGTGGGTTCATTGGATTTTTTTTTTTGTCAAGAAATCCATCATAAAGATGGAGGAGTTTAGGCATTAGATCTGAAATATGAAGAAAAATAAAAGTGATTGGAGTGTTCCACGCGTGTATACAAACATGTGTATATATCTGGTTAATGACAAAAGATCAGCGTTTAAGGGTTATAAAATATCAAAAATAAAAGGTTCAGGGGGTAATATGACTCCCGTGAAGTATTAGTGTGTAGTTGAGAATTGACTAATAGGTTAGGGGGTTATTTGTCAATTTTCTCTTTATCTATCTATACTACCTTAAAAACATAAACTCTCTAGAATGTTAAATTACTATAACGTATCTAATTAAAAATATTATTTTAGTATATCTTTTATATTTTATATTTATATTTGTTTATTTATTAATATTAATATTATATTAAAAGCAGACATCTTTTTCATATTGAAGGGTTGTGACTTTTTCAATGATTTGTGACTTTTCTAAGGGATTATGACTTTTCTACTGAGGCATAATAAACACACGTTCATACTACCCTTTGTTATCTATAAATAGAGGACGTTATCTCAGTTTTAAACTACGATTTTTCTAAGTTTTCTACTTTTCTTCTTTTTAAAAAAACTCAAGTGCGATTTGAAACAGTTAAGTGGTTCAGAGTTCAATGGAATTTGAGGTATGCTTTTTTTTTGTTCATGATTAAATTTGATTGTGCATCAATTTTTTAGGAGATCTTTGTGAGAGACTTTTACAAATTATTTTTCAATTTTTCTTTTTATTGTGAATAACATATTGACGCGACTGTTGATTGACCTTAGATATATCACAAAAATTGATATACACGTGCAATATACATATTGTGAAACTAGTGTGTGTATATATATCATAATTGCCTCGATGATCCGTATATCGATT